AGCTGCAAAGTGGAAGAAGATATTTAACATAGAATCAGCTGAGACCTTGTATCCAGATTACTGTACATAAAGAATTCCTAGAAATCGATAAGAAAAAGAGGGACGACCCAACAGAAAAATGTGCAGGATACCTGAACAGGCATCACCAAAGACGCCGTTCCAATGGCCAAAAAGGGCATGAAAAGATGTACAACCTCCTTATTTAATCAGCAAAGTGAAAATTAACATGGAAATATGATTAATACTACCCACAAGATTGGCTAAAATTTTGATGGTTGACTAGAAAGTTGATGTTAAGTGTTCGTGAAGAGGTAGAGCAACAGGAACTCTTCAGGTGGTTTAAGTACTTTAGAAACATTTTGCATCATATGTTAGTGTTGGTGCCACGCCTACACTATGGAAATTGAATGCAGATGTGCCTCAGAGCACATGTATGACCAAACTCACAGCAGCGTTAGCCACAGACCTAAACCCAAATGTCCATCCATAGTAAGAAGGGTACCTGGTGTTCATAGGATGGGATCCTACACAGCCACCAAAATGAATGAACTCCAGCTATATGGAACATATCGGGAGGAGACTTAAGCACAAGATGTCGAGGGAAAAAGCCAGATACCGAAAGAATACTGGAAGGGCTCATATCACACCATTCTGTTTATATTTTAGGACACGCCACCATTATCTCACGCACTACTAAGAAAGAAAAGGTATCCAAGATGGGAGTCTAATAGGGGCCCCACCAAAAAGGTTGGACCCCAAGGGCTGTGTGTACAGTGTCAATGTGATAAAGCAAAACAAAAGGAAATAAAACCCCTGGCTTGCAGAAAGAACAGCGAGAAAACCGGTGCTCACTGAGCACACTGTGGGGAAGGAGGATGGCGCTCCTGAGAATCCAAACCACAAAACCCACTTTGGGGTCTGAATCGCACCACCCTTGTGCCCCCCACCAAACACCCTCCAGCAGAGACTTTTAAACTTGAAGCGGTCTCAGGATGAGAGTGCCCCCGGGGGACTGAGAACCCTACATCATTCCAGGTGTAAGGCACCATCAATGTAAAATGTGCTCCCACTTGATGTGTGAAAAATGTGCTTCTTAGAACTGAGGAAATAAGGTATAAATTCCAATACAGATAAAACTGAACTATAGACCTGGGCAGCTGAGGACAACGGTGGCTGCCTGGGTACCCCCCCACCCCCACCACCTCTCAAAATTTCCTTGAAAAACAACACAGCAGGAAGAAGAGAAAATTAAACCACACAATGCGACCTCAGAGAACACCCAGACTTCAACACAGTATAAGCAGAAGAGAGCTCTGCCAGCCCCGGCCTGCAGTCTCTCACACTCCCACCCCACCCCTGTTCCACCATGAGGCTCTGTGGCAGATAAAAGGAGGATGAGAGAAACTATGGAGAGGGGAGGAGACAGGACCTGGCAACAGGGCTCAGAATTGATCTAAATCACCTTCAGGAAGACAAAGTCCATCTTAAGTCTGAAAATATGAAACAATAAAGAAGAAAGACACCAACGAAACCAGAGCACTGACCACAAGAAAGGGACTGAAAAGAATGTTCATTTGAAGGGCGGCATTCAACACACACAGCTTTGGGGAGAAAAAAAGGGCAAAAAAGAAAGAAGTACCCTTTGAAATTGGTTGGTGAAAGGTAATGGCACAAAAAGGAAAAATTTAAGGTCCTACAAGAGAAAAAGGACACCCCATACTGGAGGATACATAATCCTTTCACCTACCACCAAAACTAAAAATCTGCTAAGTTACCTGGACTTTGGTATACTGACAGAAGAGGGTGCCATTGAACTTGAAATTCTACAAAACAGTCTAAGTGTTGCATATAAACAGGAGAAAAATTAATAGACCCATAGAGTTACTGCAAAAACCCCTGGAAAACAAAAGCACACATCCAGGGCTTCCCTGGTGGCTCAGTGGTTGAGAGTCCGCCTGCCGATGCAGTGGACACGGGTTCGTGCCCCAGTCTGGGAAGATCCCACATGCCGTGGAGCTGCTGGGCCTGTGAGCCATGGCCGCTGAGCCTGCGCGTCTGGAGCCTGTGCTCCGCAGCGGGAGAGGCCACAACAGTGAGAGGGCCGCGTACCACAAAAAAAAGCACACATCCAATGAGAAAATTCCTCCCCTGAAAAACAACCATGATTCAGATAAAAGTGTAAGACAACACCCCACATGCAGGCCAATATACTCAAGCAAGCCTTTAAAGATATGAAAAACCACCTTGAATTATAAATTCAAAAAGGACCAAAAAAAAAAAAAGCCTCTAATGAGAAAGGAAAAGAGAGTTGACTGAATTCAGAAGTGAAAAAAAGAATTCAAGGTGCTCAAGAGAGAGAAGGCTCAAATGAAAACTAGAAAGGGGCATTGAGGAAAAGTAGAAAGACCACCAAGAGAATAAAGATGAATTTAAGAGACGTAAAAAGGGTCACAGAGAAAGTAGGAGAAATGGAAGACAGGCAAGGAAAGACTAGCATTTGAATTACTGGAGTCTCTGAAGAAGAAAAACAACAATGGAACAGAACTACTATTTAAAACTATAACCAAGAGAGAAATAGGTGAGGGAGATAAAGAGATACAAACGTCCAGTTACAAGATAAATAAATCACAGGGATGAAACATACAGTGTTGGGAATATAGTCAATAATAATGTAATATTTTTGTGTGGCGACAGATGGTAACTAGACTTATCATGGTGATCATTTTGAAATGTATAGAAATATAGAATCACTATGTTGTGCACCAGGAACTAACACAGTGTTGCAGGTCAATTATACTTCAAAACAAACAAACTCATAGAAAGAGAGACCAGATTTGTGGCTACCAGAGGTAGGGGTTGGGGGAGGGGGAATTAGATGGAGGTGGTCAAAAGGTATAAACTTTCAGTCATAAGATAAAGAAGTACTAGGGATGTAATGTACACCATGATTAATAGAATGAACACTGCTGCATGTTACATATGAAACTTGTTAAGAGAGTGAATCCTGAGTTCTCATCACAAGGAAAAAAATTTCTTTTTCTTTTCTTTTGTATCTAATGCCATGGTGAATGCTCACTGAACTTACTGTGGTCATCATTTCATGATCTATGTAAGTCAAATCATTATGCTGTACACCTTAGACTTATCCAGGGCTGTATGTCCAATTATGTCTCAATAAAACTGGAAGAAAAAAATTACAACCTAGAGAACTTTCCAGAAACAATAACAACAAAAGACTTAAATCTACATATTCAAAAGACTCACCGGGTACCTGGGAAAATTAACACAGAATGATCAAGTCTGAGACATTTCTTAATAAAATTGTTATATTTCAAAGATAAAGAAAAAAGTTCCAAGGTCTCCAGACAAAAAGATCAAATAACTTACAAAGGCAAAAAAAAAAATTTTTTTTTTTATCAGACTTTTCAAAAACAAAGCAAGGCAACAATTGAGCAGCATTAAAAAAATACTTAGCGGCTTCCCTGGCAGTCCAGTGGTTAACACTCTGTGCTCCCAATGCAGGGGACACGGGTTTAATCCCTGGTCTGGGAAGTAGGATCCCACACGGAGCATGGCATGGCCAAAAACAAAACAAAAGACAAACAATAAAAAAACTTAATAAAAGAAAGTGTGAACCAAGGACTTTATATCCAGCCTAGCTGCCCTTCATAAAAGAACCTAGGGTGTTCTGAATCCATGAACCTTCTTGAGGAATCTCAGAGGACGAACTTTGTCAAGCTAAGAGATGACTAGAAATCTTTGGCAAAGGGACCTAGGGTGAGTGTGTGTACTCACTAAAAACAAATGTAAGGAGGAAGGTGGATGACTACACTGCAAATTTTGAAGTGTGCAAATGAAAACAGAAGGAGAAGGGACGAATAATCTCACTGGTTGTTATATGGGCAGTGGATGGGAGTTTAAGGATGTCAATAAAAATGGGTAAACCAGATATTAAAAGGTTAAATAAGAAAACAAGGGACTAAGGGCATTAAAATAGGTTAGGAGTACAAACATAGCAACTAGAACAAAAATACAACCCTTCCTAAATTAAAAAGACTACTAAAGCTCAAAGAATACACATCTCATAGAAAAAAAAAAACAGCAAATAAAACACGTGCAATTACAAAATATGATGACAGAGTTGAGATTCAGCATAGCCGTCATATCAATAAATGTGAATGGCCTTAACTCACCTATTAAAATAAAAAGAGTTTCAATGTGGATTACAGATCAAGACCAAACTTTATGCCATATATAGGATCATACCTAAAGCAAATGGATTCTGAAAGGTTAAAATAAAAGCATGGGCAAATCCATACTGGGCAAATGGGAAAAAATAGGAGAGCAGAGGCAGTGATGCTGCTAAGAAAACTCAAGCCCTCAAAGCATTAACTGTGACAAGGCAGGGCACTTTTTAACGCTGAAAGTCACAATTCATAAAGAAGATATAACACTTATGAATATGGGCACCAAATAACATTATGAACCTTATGAAGTAAAAACCTTATGAAGTAAAAACTACAGGAGATGGAAGGATACATAGATAGAAACACATTAACAATAGGAGACTTTAACACACCATTCTCAGGACAAGGCAGATCAAATGGACACAAATTAAGCGAGGAGGTAGAAGACCTAAACACCACAATCAGTAAAGTAAACCTTACAGGTACATAGCAAGTCCTACACCTGATAACAGGAAAAAACACCTTTTCAAGTGCCCATAGAATCTAGGGTCTCACCATGAATGACTGCTCTGACCTTGAGTGTCTGGGTGGGTCCGCTCACTCTGGGGAGTGGCTGTGCCCCAGTGGCTCTGGCCTCCATAAGCTGCCCACCTCCCACCTCCTGTGGCCTGCACTGGCTCAGGTCCCTAGCCCTGCCCAGTAGGGTGTTGCTGTCTGATCTCTCCCCGCTCACTGTCCTGCTGGTACCAAGCCTGAGCTGTGAGGCTGCTGTTTGATGCTGAGCAAGGTCCCGTGTGGGGTTGGGGAGCCTACCAGAGGCTGGAGGTGACGTGGATGGCCTGGTGGCGAGTCGACGCGCACAGCGTGTCCTGGGGCTCCTTCTCCATCAGAAGCTGGAAATCCCAGGTGAAGGCTGAGTCACTCACACCTGGGCCTATGTCACTTCTGCCACCAAGTCTCAACCCTGCCTAAAGACCTTGGTGCCCCGCACCCCTGTAACCCCCAGGATTATGCTCTAGACCCTCACCTACCCAGGTGGGTCTCTGTGGCCTAGCCCCCACTTAGACAACTAGAGCATAGACTTTAGAATAGACAAGTCATGTCTGAATCCTGGCTACCCCCATACGAGTTGCATGACCTTGGGCAAGTCTCCAAACTGCTCTGAGCTTCTTTTATTCACAGAAAACATGACGTTGTTGCCCTTGTGTTACATATGAGGCAAGGAATGAGAAGCAGAGTGTCTGAGTCCCAGCAGGGGCTCAGTAAATGAGAACCGTTATTATTTTTATTATCACTATATAATCGTCCATCACTTGTGTGTTTCCTCCACTACCCCAGGGGTTCTGTGAGGCCAGAATCTCTAGTAACTAGTGGTGTGAGCTAGGTCAGTATTAGCAGAATGGACGGCGCTGGCCTTTCTGGGTCTCAGCCACATCAGCTGTGCAGCGGATGTAACTGGCCAGCTCAGGGTCCCTGTAGGAACCAAGTCATGTGGGGGCCATGGATGTGCTTCCAGGTGTGAAAGCCTGAGGGGCTTGTACACGCTCTAGAAATCCAATCAGCCCAACCTTTTCCAGTGGGTGCCTCTCATGAATGTTGCTGCTCTGAGGGAGGTGCCCCCTCTGTCCCGGGAAGCCCTTCCTCTGCCCCAGGACCTTGCACTCACCATCAGACACTCGAAGAGCTCAGAGACCTGGGAGAGCGCGTAGCTTTGGGCGCCCTCGTTGTGGCTGACAGCCCCCACCAGCATGAGGATGGCCATGAGGAAGCTCTGCTTCAGGGTTTCGTCCTGGCAAGGGCTCAGGTGGTGGGGCAAGGGGGCGGGGTCAGGGAGTGGGAACACCAGAGGGGCAGGAGAGCCGCAGTCACATGTGGCAGCGGGGCCTCCGCTCAAGGGGGCTCAGCAGAGGCCTCCAGCTCTGGGGCCACATAGCTGGGTGTTTTTTTGATGCGGGAACCGGTGATTTTGTTTAGCAATGCGAATACATCGATGAGGCTTAAGCATCAGGAGGTGCCTGTAGGAAGCTCAGTGTTCAGCTTCTCGTGATGTGTGGCCACCCCAGGCCCAAAGGCCTCAAGTGTGCGGTGGTCTCACAGGCTGCATAGCCCCTCAGAGTTACCAGGGTGGAAGCCCCTGGTGCAGGGTGTAGAGTCAGGGGACCGTCATCACAGGCTGTGATGGGCAGTCACCCGGACTTCCAATTCCCCCGAGTGAGAGCCCAGGGTTTTCTTTAAGGGGGGCGGTGGAGGGAGGGAGTCCTCACGGAAGCCCATGAAGCCTTAGGTGGGAACGATGGAGTAGGAGCCCAGGGTGGTGAGGGAGTGGGGAGGTGGGCTTCAAGGCCCTGGAAGTTCTGGAATTCTCAGACCCCGGTTCTGGCGGGCTCCAGGGGCTGCGGGGGGTCACACCCAGGAGTTGTAGTGGAAGAAGAAAACCATCCGTGACAAGATGTTGTCCACCCACGGGAGGATGCGGGTCTTGGCCTTGTCCGCCCTCTGGCCACAGGCCAGGAGGTGATGCTCGCCCACCTCCACCGCATGTCCTCCGAGTTCTGGGCACAGAACAGCAGGCGGATTCTTAACCACTGTGCCGCCAGGGAAGTCCTCGTCCACATTTTTGCATGCATTCTCAAGTTCACTTCTCTATTTCTGCTCTGAATTTTATTATTTCATTTCTGCTGCTTGGTTTCAGTTTTTTTAAAAATTTAATTTAATTAATTTATTTTTTATACAGCAGGTGCTTATTAGTTAGCTATTTCATACATATGTGTATATATGTCAATCCCAATCTCCCAGTTCAGTTTAACTCACTCTTGGTTTCAGTTTAACTCGCTCTTCTTTCTCTAGTTTCCTCAGGTGGATCTTTGGGAGGGAATGAGTCTGCCTAGTACAGGTTGTTTCCAGTTTGAGGCTCTTATGAGTAAGGCTGCCGGGAACATGCCTGTATGTGTAATTTTGTGTATGAATGTTTCATGCCTCTGGGGTTAATACCTAAAAGTGGAACTGGTGAGTCATAACTGTATAAGACAATGTCGATTTTCCAAGGAGGTTTCACCATCCCACCAGCAGTGTGAGTTTCCCCGCCAGCATTTGGTCGAGTCTTTCTCTTTCCTTTGAGCTCTGTCCTGGGTGGGTAGTGGCAGCTCCCCGGGTTTTAATTGACATTTCACTGAGGATTCAAGATATTGACTGTTGTTTCTTTGGCTTTTGGTCATTCATATGCCTTCCTTTGTGACATACCTATTTAAATCTTTGATTCACTTTTGCAATTGGTCTGTTTGTCTTTTTCTCCCTGATTTTGTAAGAGTTCTTCATTTATTCTGAATACAGTCCCTTGTCAGATATATGTCTTGTGAATATTTTCTCCATGTCTGTGGTTTCCCTTTTTTCACTTTCCTCATAGTATTGTTTGATGAGCAGAAGCTTTAATTTAGATGAAATCTAATTACTCTATTTTTTTTTCTTTTTATGATAAGTGCTTTCTGGGTCCTAAGAAATATTTACCTACCCCAAGGTTGGCGAGATTGTCTCCTGTGTTTTCTTCTAGAAGTGTTTTCGTTAAGTTCTTTTTCCCCCCTAGATACGCAATTGTTGTAGAACCACTTATTCAAAAGACTGCCCATTGAATTGCTTTGGTACCATTGTAAAAGAAATTAATCGACCATATGAGTGTGGTTTTATATTGGAGTTTCTATTCTGTTCCATCGATTTATTTGTTTAATCTCTGTCAGTTCTCACTGTCTTGTGGACTATAGCTATATAGGAAATCTTGAAATCAGGTAGTGTAATTCTTCTAACTTTGTTCTTTTTCAAGATTGTTTTGGCTATTCTAGGTCCTTTGAAATTTCCATATAAACTTTTAACTTATAGATTATGTTTAATTCTATAATAAAGTTAGTTGGGATTTTGATTGGCATTGCACTGAATCTATAAATCAATTTTGGGAGAACTGACATCTAAACATTATTGACTCCTGTTATCCATGATCATATAGCTCCATTTATTTAGGTTTTCTTTAATTTCTCTTTGCAATGTTGGTAAAGATCTTGAACATATTTTGTTAAATTTATCTGAGTCTTTTATGTTTTTCATGTGGCTGTGTCATTGTGTTTTTAAACCTTACTTTCCAATTGTTTGTTGTTAGTATATAGAAATTCAATTGACATTTGCATGTTGATTTTGTATCCTGAGATCTAGCTAAATTCAATTATTAGTAATTAATAGTTCTAGCATTAAAAAACAAACTTTTGTGAGATTTTCTGTGTATGCAATTATGTTGTCTGCAAAGAAAGCTGGCTTTACATTTTCCATTGCAATCTGTGTCTGAGTTCCCGTTCCTCTTACCTTACTGCGCTGGTTAGGACTTCAGTGCAACGTTGACCAGAAGTGGAGAGGGTGGACATCTTTGCCTTATTCTGATCTTAGCGGGAAGGTGTTCATTTATTTGTGACTAGGTATGTTAGTTGTAGGGTTTTCATAGATGTCAGTTTCCTCCTATTCCTACTTTGTTGAGAGCCTTTCTCTTTGTGATTTATAATAAAAATATATATTTGGTCTTTATCTCTATTTTCATCTGGCACAGAACTTCTAAAACCCTTTCCTAAGTGATTGGAGCAGTAAAGGTGTCTTTTGTTGTTCATAACAAGCCCGGTTCCGCTTTTGGAAAGCCCTTAGGTAACCACAGGATGGGGGCAAGTTGTCAGGGAAACCAGTCATGGTTAGAGGGTTGGAACTTTCATTCACTCCTCAACTTTCAGAGAGGGGAGAGGGGCTAGAGATTGACTTTAATCACCAGTGGCCAGTGATTTCATTAATCGTGTCTATTAACAAAGCCTCCGTTAAAAGCCCCAAAGGACTGGGATCTGAGAAATTCCATGCTGCTGAACGTGTGTGGACTTTTTTGTATATTGCCGGATTTATTTTGCTAATATTTTGTTAAAGACTTTTGAGTCCATCTTCATGAAGGATATTGGTCTGTAGTTTTGTTGTAATGTCTTTGTCTGGCTTTGGTGTCAGAGTTGTGCTGGTCTTATGAAAACGTTTTGGAAGTGTTTCTTCTTCCTCTATTTTCTGAGAGAATTTGGATAGAATTGGTATTACTTCTGCCTTAACTTGTGATAGAAAATTAACCAGCAAAGTATCTGGGCCTGGAGTTTTCTTTGTGGGAAGGTTTATAAAATATGACTCCAGTTTCTTTAATACAGGACTTCTCAGACTTTCTGTTTCTTCTCGCGTCAGTTTGGTGGTTTGTGTTTTCTAAGGAGTTAGTCTATTCAATCGAAATTGCCTAATTTATTGGAATCATATTTTATTACCATTCCATATTAAAGGATGTGCAGTGATATTCTTTCTTTGCTGTTACTGAATATTTTTGATTTTCTTGATCAGCCTATCAAGGAGCTTATCATTGTATCAATCTTTTTGAATAACCTGCTTTTGGTTTTATTCACTCTCTACTGCTTGTCCGTTTAAAAAATTTCTTTGATTTTTACTCTACTTTTTATTATTTTCTTCCCTCTACTTACTTTGGACTTAATTTGCACTTTCGGGGATAGTTTCTTAAAATGGAGGTTTAGGAAATAGATTTTATACACTTTTTTCTTTTCTAATATAGGCATTAAAAATATAAATTTCTTCTAAGCATTGTTTTTTGTTGAACCCCACAGATTTTCAAAATTTCATATTGTGTTTTACTTATCATTCAGTTCAAAGTATTTTCTAATTTCCTTTGTGATTTCTTCTTTGACCTATGGAGTATTTAAAAGAGTGTTGTCTAACTTCCAAATATTTGGAATTTTTCCAGATGTATGTTTGCTATCATTCTGTAATTGATGTTCTGGGCAGAGAATGTACTCTGTTTGATTTCAGTCCTTTTAAATTTATTGGAACTTGATATATGGCCCAGCAAATGATCTATCTTGGTGAATGTTCTATTTACATTTGAAAGGAACGTCAATTAGATCAATTTGGTTAATTACGTTGTTCAAGTCTTCTGTGTCCTTGTGATTTTCTGTCTCATTTTTCTATTAATTACTTGTATTGCTGCTGCTGCTGGTGTTATTTCCACTAAATGCCATTTAATTACTACTATTCTGCTGCTACTATATGATAATAATAACTAATGTAGGGAGTGAGGGCTTCCTGTCTGTCAGGCACAGTGCCAAACACTACGTGGATTATTTCCTGTCATCTCACAACGAACATTTGAGGTTGGTACTTTTACCCCCATTTGACAGACGAGGAAACTAAGGTACGGAGAGGCAAAGTAGGTCATCCGACACGCAGCTGTGATTGGTTGAATCTGGACTTAAACCCAGGTCTGCCAGGGCGCCATGTCCCTTTTCCCGACCACACAAAACCTTCACGTGGTGTGTGGCCGGAGATGGACCAGCACGACACCATCCTCGGCTGTGGCAACTTCAGTCCACGCCGACCTCTTCTTTCCTCCCTTGGTCTCAGATCTGGCCTCTGCATCCTCTCTGGGCCCCTCAGTCACAGATCCAGCCCCCAGGGTGGGTGGGAAGGACACTTACCCTGTGCCAGGTGCCTAGAGACCAAGGTTCAAATCCCAACTCCACAGAGACCAGTCCCATGACTGTGGTCAAGTCCCCTCCCCTCCAAACCTGTTACTCATCTGTAACAGCCTCGCCCTGCCTCCCCCTCTGTCCCCTCCCTCCCCTCCCTCCCTGATCTCCTCCCTCCTCCCAGGGCTGAGCGGGTGCCTCCCATCCCCCATCATCCCGGCAGAAGGGCTTGTGGCAGAGCTCCCTCCCTACTTGGGCCAGCTGCTCTTCCCAGCAAGCCTTCTCTCTCTCCTTGAAGATCTCCTCTGTGGGGCGGAGGACGGGTCCCTGGAGGCCAGACCTGATGTCCATGGCCAGGACCGGGTCTTGGGCTCCATCTCCCCCATCCCTTGGAGACGACTGATGTCCTGCCTCTGGCTATTCTGGCTCCATTGGGGAGGTGAGCTCAGAGGATGGCGAGCCAGAATTGGGCTCAGGGTCCAGAAAGCTGGTCTGGAGTTGTGGCCCTGCCACACTTGCTGTGTGACCTCAGGTAGGTCACGTTCCCTCTCTGGACCTCAGGCTCACCAATGGTAAATGGAGGGTTCCCTCTGGGCATGGTTGCTTGGGATGTACTTGGGTCCCCTCAAGGGTGGGGAAACAAGGCTCAGAGAGGGGCACACTGGGAGGCTGCAAGCTTTTACGGAACTTTGGAAACCCAACCTCAGGGGGAGCGGCTGCTTCAGGGATGGCCCTGGGGGTTTCGGAGGTCACCCAAGGCAAAGAGGGACCTCCACCCAGCCTGCCAGCCCCAGGCACGGGGTGCAAAGCTGAGCTAAGAGTCCACACTCCCAAGCACGGCCTCTGAGGCCTCCCCGCCAGGCTTCCTTGTAGAGAGCAGGGCCTGCCACGCCCCTTTCCTCCCCCTGACCTCAGCCCCTCGCCGAGGCTGCTGACCAGCTCCTCCCCAAGGCCCTGAGGTGTACTCACACCATTCCCTCCTCAAACTCCTACTCATCCCTCAAGGCATGGCTCAGACTTGGCTGCCTGCTCCGGGAAGCCCTCCCTTGTGGCCACCAGGGCCGCCCGGTACCTCCCCCGCTGGGCAGAAGGGAGCTCAGCTCATGCTTGTGAACGGATGAATGAGCGAGGGATGAGAGCTGGCGCGCGCCTGCCTGGGAGGCTGTGAGCTCCTGAGGGCAGAGCCGGGCACGTGACAGGCGCTCAGTGTTTGCTGTCTTGCATTAGCTGAGCCTCATGCTGGCAAGACCCTTCCCTGTAAGTCCTCTCTGGGGGTTCTCAGAGACCCCCACTATCCAGGTGGTCCTTCCAGTGGCTCAGAGGCAGCGGCTGCTGAGGAAACACAGAGACCTGGACCCCACAGGCCCAGGACGTGAGGCTGGGTGACCTAGGCCCGTCGCACAGCCTCTGTGAGCTTGGCCTCCCCGCCTGCCAGTGATCCGGGGAGAGGACCACGTGGCAGGGCAGGCCTGCTTCCTGGGCTTCCTCGCTCCGTCCCGATTCTGTCCGGGCCTGTTGTCGAAATGCTGACAGCGGGAGCACGGGCTAGTGGGGATGGGCAGCTCGGCTAGCCGCTGGTGCCCTACCCTGGGAGTCCCGAAGTGGCCCAGGCTGGCCGAGGGGAGATGGGCTGCGGGAGTGCTCGGGCCATAGCCCATGGCCCTCTGGCACGGGGATGCTTCACTGTTGCACAGCCTGTGTGTGTGTCCCGCGGATCAGCAGCCCTGCACGCCCCCTCCTGCTCTCTCCTCATGACCTCCCCCTCCCCCTGCTGGCCTGGGGACAGAGGGTGGCCCAGCCCAGGCCCTGAGCACGGGACATACCGTTAGAGGTCAGGACGCCCATCACGTAGAGGAGGCTGCGGTGCGGGAGGACGCCCGACAGGACCTCGGTCTCCAGGTGCTGGGCCACCAGCCGCCAGCAGTGCCTGCTGGTGGCCACCAGCACGTTGCTGGCCGCGTCCCGGTAGCCCTCCTCCAGCTCCCGGGTGTGGGCAGAAAGGAAGAGTGGTCTGGTTTGGTGGGCAGGACGGCTACCATCCACCCGGTTTTTCGATAGAAAACTGAGACCGAGGAAGGCCGACATGCATAGCTGGCAGGTGAAGATCGGGTCCAATCTCAGGCTCAGAGCTGCACGTGCCTGTCAGCATCCCCGGTCCGCTGACTGGTCCAAGACCCGTCATCATTCTTCTTGCTTCTGAGCCTTTGCTCGTGCTGTACCTCCTGCCTGCCTTACGGTTCCCACTTGCCCTGTCTATGCAAACCCTAGCCCTGCATTTGGTGGCATCTGAAAGTGAGGGGGTCTCTGGTCTCTCCCCACGTGATGCTGGTCCCTGTGATGCTGTTTGATCATCCCATGAAATTGTTATATCATTTATAAATTTTTTAAAATTTATTTATTTGTTTTATTTATTTATTTTTGTCTGCGTTGGGTGTTTGTTGCTGCGCGTGGGCTTTCTCTAGTTGAGGTGAGCGGGGGCTACTCTTCGTTGTGGTGCGCGGGCTTCTCATTGCGGTGACTTCTCTTGTTGTGGAGCACGGGCTCTAGGGCACGCGGGCTTCAGTAGTTGTGCCACGTGGGTGCAGTAGTTGTGGCTCGCGGGCTCTAGAGCGCAGGCTCAGTACTTGTGGAGCAAGGGCTTAGTTGCTCCACGGCAATATCTTCCCGGACCAGGGCTCAAACCTGTGTCCCCTGCATTGGCAGGTGGATTCTTTTTTTTTTGCGGTACGCGGGCTTCTCACTGTTGTGGCCTCTCCCGTTGCGGAGCACAGGCTCTGGACGCGCAGGCTCAGCGGCCATGGCGCACGGGCTTAGTTGCTCCGCGGCATGTGGGATCTTCCCGGACCAGGGCTTGAACCCGTGTCTCCTGCATGGCAGGCGGATTCTTAACCACTGAGCCACCAGGGAAGCCCCTCCATTCATTCTTTTATTCACTCGTTCATTAAAAAGCCAGACAGAGCTTTCCCCCAATCATCTACCCAACCATCCATCCCCTGTGACTTTAGGCAAATCATTTCCCTTCCCTAAGCCTCAGTTTCCTCATCTCTGGGGATCATAATAATCTCATCGAGAGACTGTTCAGAGGATGGTGCACACGTGTCCGTCCACTTTCCTCCCTTCCCCCTTGGCTCATTGGACACATGAGATTGACTTGCCCCAAATCATGGCGCTGCTGTCTGGAGGAACCAAGGTTTGATCCCCCTTTGGGGTCCAGGCCTTCCCTCTGCTCCCCACGACTGCCCTGAGTGGCCCGAGCAGCTCCCACATCCAGGTTGTCTACAAAGTAGTCATGATGGTTTCCAGCACCAGACTGGGGTCCCCGTGAGCCACGTTCTTGATTTTTTGATGACGTGCTTCAGGTGGAGGGGGTCTGAACTGTTCAGGTCCCGGAGCGTCTTGAAGCAGATGGTTAAAGCAGATGGCAAGAAAGTGTGAGGATCGGTGTGCTGTAGGAATGTCACGTTGTGCTAACAGGGCTGGGTGGGCAGCGAAGGGGTAGGGCTGGGAATGGGAAACAGCCATTCTGATCTGAAAGGGAGGGCTGGGAACTGAACACACTGGGAAATCCTGGGCCTCCTGACTGTTCTGTCAGTCCTTCCGGGGTTCAAGGTAAGATGAGAAGCAAGAAAGCAAGCAGGGAATGCATCCTTGTTCACCCATGCGTATTTCCATCCATTCACTGATTCATCCTCCTTTTCATGCATCCATTTACCCATTCATCTATCACCCACCTATCCATCAATCCATCCATTAATAAACGTATCCATCTACCTACCCATCCACTCATAAATTCATCTATTCATCCATCTACCCACTCTTCATCCATTTAGAAATTCATCTACCCATCCATCCATTTATCCATCCATCCACCCATCCCTCTGTCCCTCCATCTATTCATTCCTTCATCCTTTCATCCTCCATCCAGTCACCCAACATTCAATGATGTTCATTCACTGTGTGGTCATAGGGCTGTGTGTGTGGCTTAAAGGGGAGTCAAGGCCCAGCTCTGTTCTGAAGGAGCCTCCAGTCCAAGGGAGCCCTACCCAGTATTGGTGGACTTTAGGGAGTTATTACTGGGGAGTTGTATAAAAGGCCCTGGGCACACAGAGGGGGAGGGGTGATAAATCCTGACTAAGGTGGAGAGTCGGGACTGTCTTCTCAGAGGAGGAGGCACTTTAAGTTGGCCTAGAAGGATGAGGGCAAGTCATCCTTTGAATGAGGGGAAAAGCATTCCAGTGAGAGGGCCAGGGGTAAGCTGAGGTTCTAAGGTGTGAAAGGTGCTGAAGGAGAGTGGAGGGTGGTGGGTGAGAGAAGGCATTTTGGATGGTGCCTCAGGAGACATGAAAAGGCCAAGGAGGATGGGCAGGAGGCTCTGCTGAAAGCTGCACTATGTCCACACCTCTTGACACCCCAAGGTCCCAGAGAGTGGACTTCCTCTGGCCCTCGTCCCCAGGACTTCTTTGGGTGGAGGGACTGAGGGGGTCTGCTGGAACCTGACTGCCCTGCCTGAGCCCCGGGGCCAGTGGTCACCTGCGCTGTAGGCTTCCTCCATGAATGTCTTGTGTTCCTTGGGCACCAGGGCGGCCTGGCTGCTCTGTGGCTTGCAGAGCAGGATGGTGGTGGGGGGCATCCATCTGTCCCTGGGGGCAGAATCCTGAGGCACATTTACGTAAGACTGGTTCTTCGTGGATTCAGAGATGTGGGAGGAGATTCTGAAATGGAAAAGGGACTCCTGGGTGTGTGCGCCTGGGTGCCCTTGTGTGTGTTCATGGATGCAGGTGCAGTAGATGCTGAGAGCCACCTTGGTCTGGATCAGGCTTGGCAACAGTTTTCTATGCACCCACCCTTCTGTTTAATTGACTGACTGAATCCTGGGAGGAGGGCAGGGGTCTGGAGGCCCAAGGGACACGGTTGAGTGGGCCTGGGGGGGCCTTGTTTCCCAGCAAGTGTTGGTGGGACAGACATGGCTGGCAGGAATTAGAGGACTCAGGATATGGCAACCCCTCTTAATACTAATATTAAGAGGGCCAAGCCCTCTTAATGTTGAACTATGAAATGTGTGTCAGATAAAGTCACTCAGAATCCTCCCATGGTTTCCCACTGCACTCAGAGAAAAACCCAAAGTCCTAAAAATGATGAAGATGACACTGGTGCTTCCATCCAAATGGAGTCACAAGGACAAAATTCACCCTCCTGCCTTACATAACTGGAAAACTGGAAAAAATATACAAAACCATGAATAACAGATATTAGGCAGAAAGCAGGGCAGGACAATGATTCCTGATGGATGGAAAACCAGCGAGGCTGGCTCCAAACTGCTGCAGCTTTTGCTGCCTGAAAAACTTCTAATTTGCAGTGCAGGGGGCGGAGCCCAAGAGAACCTAGTGGTCTACTTGAGTTGAGGAAATAGAGGTGGAAGTTTGGGGAGGCCAAAGTGGCCAGAGTTTGCAGGGAAGAATAATAGCAGAGAGCTGCCTAGGGAGGGACTGTGAGCTCTGGACATTTTCAGAGCACCCCCTGCCCCCCAAGTCTTTCTCTGCATGCTGATCAGTACACGTGTGAAAAGAAAGCACCCGAAGGAGCAGAGGAAACAATTCTTGGAGTTTACATAGTCTGAGAGTAGTTCCTGTTTTCATCAGCCAGAGTGGAAAACCTTGTAATTCATAGGGCATTGGTCAGAGTACTATGAATGGTATTATCTCAGTAGTGGGGAAAAATTTCAGCCCTAGACAAGAATGCTTTGGCCTGCCCTTATAAAGCTTAAAGGAATGCCTCGAAAGGACCAAATTGTTTTTCAATAATTTAGTTATATGCCAGAACAAAGCTCAAGAATATTTATAAAGTACAGGAATATCCAGTACCCGAAAAGGTAAAATTCACAATGCCTAGCATTGAATGGAACATTACCAGGCATGCAGAAGCAGCAAGAAAATATGACCCATTATGAGGAGAAAAATCAGCAGATCAAAAACAACACATAAATGACACAAATGAGAGAATTAGTAGGCAAGGACTTGAAATATTATTATAATTATATTCCATATTTTCAACATGGTAGATTAAAACATAAGCACACTAAGGAAAGACATGGAAAATATAAAAAAGCTGAAAAACACAATGCTTAAGATTAAGAATACACAGAATGAGTTTAACAGCAGATTAGACACCATAGATGCAAAAATTAGTGAACTTGAAGACACAACAGAAACTATACAAAAATGTAACACTAATAGAAAAAAGATTGGAAAAAAAAAAAGAAGGAACAGAGCATCAGTGAGTTGTGGGACAACTACAAAGGGCCTATTTGAGTCCTCACAGGGGAAGAAAAGAGGACAGAGAAATATTTGAAGAAATAATATCTCAAGTTTTCAAGTTAATGAAAACCATAAACCCACAGATCCAGGAAACTCAATGAACCACAAGGAAAAGAAACATGAAGAAAACTACACTAAGTTACATTGAAATAAAGAGGAAATCTTAAAAACAGCCAGAGGAAAAAAAGATACATTTTATACAAAGGTATAAAGAATGAGAGCCATAAGATTAAGAATTAGTTCTTGTCAGAAACAGCGCAAACCAAGTGACAGTGGAGCAATATTTTAAAATAGAAAAGAAAAATAGAACAAAGAAGAGATGGGACAAAGAGAAAACAAATTGCAAGTTGGTAAAATAGAAACCAATAATAGAAAGAGAGGTGGGAAATCCCCAAGCATTTGGAAACTAAATAACATATTTTAAAATAAGGCACAGGCCAAGAAGAAATCAAAAGAGAAAGTAAAAAGGATTTTGAACTGAAGGAAAATAAAAACACAACATATCAAAATGCATGGGGTGCAGCTAAAGCAGTGCTTAGAGGGAAATTTATAACATTAAAATTTATAGTACTAGAAAGGAATAAAGGTTTGAAACCAATGACCTAAGCTTCCATCTTAAAAACTAGGAATAGAAGGGCATATTAAAGCTAACACAAGAAAATAAAAAGTAGAACAGAAATTAATGAAGTAGAAAACAGGAAAACAATAGAGAAAATCAACGAAACCAAAAGCTGATTCTTTGAAATGATGAAAACATTTTTTTTTTCTGGTATGCAGGCCACACGTATTTTGATAAAGGCACAAAAGCAATTCTATTAAGAAAGGATAGTCTATACAACAAATGGTGTTGCAATAATTGGATATACACATGTAAAAAAAAATCGCAATTTATACTTCACTACATACATAAATTAACTCAAAATGGATCATAGACCTTAAAGTAAAACCTACAATTCTAAAACTTCTAGAAGAAAATATAGGAGGAAAACTTTGTGACCTTGAGTTGGACAAAGATATGTTGTATATGACACCAAAAGCACTATCCATGAAATAAAAAATTGGTAAATAAATTCATCAAAATTAAGAATGTCTGCTTTTCAAAAGGCAGCTATAAAAAAATGAAATGACAAGCTTCAGACTTGGAGGAAGTATTTGCACGTCACATATCTGATAAAAGACTATATCTGATATATACAAATAACTCACAAAACAAAACAAAACAAAACACAAACAACCTAGAAAATACAGGCAAAAAATTCAAATAGACATTCCACTAAAGGAAAAAAGCAAATGGCAAATAAGCCCATAAAACAGCTCAACATCATTCCCCATGAGGGAAACCAATTAAAACCACAGTGGGATATCAATACACATCTACTAGAATGGATAAAATAAGAAAAATCAGAAAATGCCAAGTGCTGGTGAGGATGCAGGATAACTGGAGTCTCCAACATCGCCAGTGAAAATGCAAAATGGTACGGCCAGTGTGGAAAGTAGTTTGGTACTTTCTTAGAAAGTGATACCTACATTTACCATCCAAATCAGCTATTCCACTCCTAGGCATTTACTCAAGTGAAATGACGACTTCACACAAAAATCTGTACACGAACGTTTACAGTGGCTTTATAATAATCCCAAACAGAAAAAATCCAAGTGTCCTTCGACTGGTGAATGCATAAACAAACTGTGTTACATTCACAGAAATACTACTTAGCAATAACAAGAAATGAATGTATGTAAATAAAAAAGAAATACTGTAAGTAAAAAAAAAAACAAGAACCAAAGAAATAAGAACAAAAAGGATCCCCTCCACCTCACTTCCTTCCGCTCTTTCTTGCTAACCCCGTCCACCCCAGGTACAGTGAGCTCCTGAGGCTCCGCAACCCACCAGACACACTTCTGTCTCAGGACCTTTGCACTGGCTGTTCCTTTGGTCTGGGGAACGTCCTTCCTTCAGAGAGCTGCTCGGCTCAGTCTAACACCTCCTTCAAGACTTTGCTCGATTGTTTCTTTCTTGATGAACTTCTTTAAAATCTGACCCTCACCCTGCACTCTCTACCCCCTAAACTTGTCAATTTCTTTCCATATCCCTTTTCACCTTGTAACATCATATAACTCACTGTACCATGTCTGGTTTATTGGCTGTCTCCCCCACTGGAATGTAAACCAGGGGCAGGGCTCTTCATGTCTTGTTTCCAGCTGTGTCCCCAATGCCTGGAATAGTGCCTGGTATGCTTAGCAGGGGCTCAGCAAATGTTTGTGGAACGCATGGTAGAGCGATGTGTCCAAAGCAGCCATCAGCCCTGCCTGGATCTTCTGGGGACAGCCCTGGGACAGCCCTCCCAGCTCGCTCGTTTCCTGGTGGTCTGTCCCCTGCAGCCTCCACACCAGGATTAGCTGCCCGAGCCCTCTCCAGCTGACCATGGGACTTTGCTCTCCCCTCTGCCCAGAGCATGTGTCCTTCCTCCTTGTCCCTTTGTGAGGCTGATGTGAAGTCAGCCTTCAGCCTTCCTGCCTCGGTAAGAGCATCCTAAGGTGTGTCTCCTGGCTCTCTGGCTGACTGATGGCCCTCCTTGGCTCTCCCTGAGCTCCTTGGAAACCTGGTGGCACCACTGACTAACCCCTGGTCCTTTGCCTTCCCAAGTTTCCCTGGGGATGTGCTGGCTGTCTCTGGGTCCCCAACGTGTCCCAGGGCAGGTCCTGAGTAAAGGCTGACTGAGCGAGTGAATGAGTGGATACTGCTGAGAGCGTGCTCCTGGGAGGACCTTCCTTGAACAGCGGGACTGTCCTCCTCCCGTCCACCTGGAGCTGCTATCAGCAGCCCTGCCTCCTTCAGCTCCCTTCCCACGTGGTGGCCCTGCTTGGAGTGGGGGCCCCTTCCCCATCCCTTGGCCATGCCCAGACTGAGGACCCTCCCCCCCCGCCATCTGCCTCTTTGGGGACCAGTGACCCTGTGGCCAGGCAGGGGACACTCCCGGGGTTGCCTGAGATGTTGCTTTCCTGCATGTCTGAGCTGGTGACACAGAAGACTCAGCCCTGACCAGGGAACTTGCTGGGATGAAAGCGTTTATAAAGTGCAGGGAACAGAGACTGGGTCGGGGGGGCACTTGGCTTGGGGGTGGCTGACGGGCTCTGTAGTCCCCGAGCCTGCACAATGCCCTGAGTGGCATCCTTCCTGCCGCCTCCACTCACTCAGCGAGTATTTAGCAAATGCTGACAGTGTGCCGGGCACCACTCCAGGACCTGGGGGTTCTTCAGGGGACAGAAACACCCAGAAACTCCTTCCCTCGTGGCACTTATGTCCCGGGGACAGTAAGAAGGACGAAGGTCAAGCCGGCCAGGGAGTGGGTAAGCTGTGGAGGTTATTTTAAGCAGGTCAGGGAGGCTTGGCTGGTAAAGTAGGCACCCAGAGTGGGTGCTGGATGACTGGATAATTCAGTGGTGAATGAATGAAGGCATTCTGGGAACAGGGCAGCTCGCCCCTGCCCGGGACGGATGGGCGCGTCCCTTCCCGTCACCTCTGCCCCGCCACCAACCTCACCAGCGCCTCCACCGGCACCAACGAGGATGGCCATGTGTTGGGGACTTGATCATGTCCACACTGTCCTCACACCAACCCTGCGGGGTGCTGAGACACAGAGAGGTTCAGTGACCCGTCCCAGGACACACAACCTCTGCAGGACAGTGCACGTTCAGATCTGCCCAGCTCTAAAGGCTGCATCCCGGGGACGTGGCCACCGGGGCTCAGTACACGAGCCCTGCTGGAAGGCCCTTCCTCCTACGGCCTCTCAGAAAAGCACTCACTCCCCTGCCGCTCCTGGTGGGCTCAGCCATTCACGCAGAGCCTGGTCTCCCTCTGCGCCCAGGAGGGGCCTCGGGCGGGTCAGTGATGGCCACAGCCACAAGCGAGACCCCTGTCTCACCACAAACACGCATCCCAGCCCCACGGCGACCAGGACTGGATGTATTTTTAAAGACAGAAAAACAGTAGGAACGCAGTTAGCAAACAGCTGCAGGGGGAGCGTTTTCTCGCCATAGATGTGATGCAGGATGTGCCGGGGTGAGGGGGGAGACAGGCCTGACAACACAGGCAGAAGCAACAGTGCAGAACAGAGGAGCTGCGTTCAGAGGCGGGTACGGACTGCTGCCCTGGGGACAGCCACAGGGATGGGAACACAGGCGGGAATCCCGCCCTGGAATCCCCCACCCCCACCCCGAGGGACGGCCTGGAGAGCCATGCCTGAGTCCCCACAGAGCGCACCCTGGGCTGGGGGCCGAGGAGGCCGGGGAGGGAGCCTTCAGGCCAGACTCCGACCTGCGACTGGACACGGAAGGTGGAACTGCCCTCGTGCCTGCCTGGGGTGCTGGGGACACGAGACCAAAGTCCCCAGAGGAGCCTTCCTTGGTGTACGTTCCTTGAGTCTGTTAGGTCATGGGCTGCTGTATCCTCTCGATGAAGTCGAGGTTCAGGGAAGCAGTGGGCAGTCTGTCTGTCGTCTATCCATCCGTCCACTCGTTCTCATACCTTTGGTTCCCACAAGCAGTCAGCAGCCACAGGTGGCGCGATGGCAAAGACTGTGTTGGGATTCGACTACCCCTTTCCACATCACCCCCCAGCCTCCTCTCCACCAAGTCAAGGGGACGTCAGCTGCCGGGCCCCTCTCTCGGCTCAGGGCCTGGGGGTCAGCTCCCTGCTGCCCTGCAGGGGGTGCTCTCCTGGAAGACCACATGGGGGTCCCCTCCTGGGCTCCTACGTGCCCCTGCCTGGCGCTGGGCTGACCTGGGGCTCTGGAACCTGGCTAAAGAGGTCCTGTCGGCCATGGTGTGGCTGTGTGGCTTTTCTGAACGCGGCCCGTCCCTGTTGGGGTGCGGTTGGAGGTGCTGCCAGCTCTGTCCTCATGCCCGGCAGAGCAGTCCTGTCTCTGGGCACGCCCTCCGCCACCCCAGACAGCCCTGACCTCACCCCTGAGGTCACAAATGTTCCAGCACCCAGCACACCTTTGCAGGAACAGTGCTGTGGAATCGAACACCGTGTTCTGGGCACAGCATGTGCGCGTGTGTGTGTGCATGTGTGTGTACACCTATGTCCCCAGTGTGGCCTCGGGCCCGGCCTCTCCACCTCTGGTTCTCAGTTATCTCCTTCTGGACACCCGTGGATCTGGCCCCAGCTGACACCTTGGTGCACCTTTGAGACGCCCCAAGGCAGAAGCCCGGCTGATCCCTGCCTGGATTCCCAGCCCAAGCAATTGTGAGGCAGTAGATGTGTGTGGTCTGAAGTCCCTAAGTTTGGGGTCATTTGTTCCATAGCGATACATAGTAATGCGTGCCCCGTGCCAGGGAAGAAGCGGCAGAGCTGGGACTCTGTATGGCCTCCCAGCAGAACCTGTCTCTGGGCGGTTCTGGAGCGGAGTTCCCGCTTGTGGCCCCTGGTCCAGTTCCATGGCTGCAGGGGAAGCTGGGTCCAGGAGGCAGACCAGGACTCCCAGCATGGACCCCTGTCACCACACTTGGCTATTGGAGGCCCTACCATTGAGGAGGCCCCAGGGCCCGTGGGCTGCTGGTGCCTGGACCTGCTGCTGGGCCAGCTTGCTCCGGGGCCATGGGCATTTCCCTCTGCCCAGCCAACCCCGATCTCGAGGAGTCCTTGTAGCCACGCTGTGCCCGCAGCCCCAGCATCCTGGAGATAGTCATGAGGGGACCCGGGCCACCATGGGGGAAACCACAGAGAAAATGGGTGGCCACCGCCCACCGCCGAGGCCTTGGGGGCTCCAGAGCTTGCCCAGGGTTCAGACCCCAGTTGTGGTTCTGCTGGCCAGATGACCTTTCGGAGGCCATGACCGCTTTAGAAACAGGGGTTGGGGCTTCCCTGGTGGCGCAGTGGTTGAGAATCCGCCTGCCGCTGCAGGAGACACAGGTTTGAGCCCTGGTCTGGGAAGATCCCACATGCTGTGGAGCAACTAGGCCCGTGAGCCACACTGCTGAGCCTGCGTGTCTGGAGCCTGTGCTCCGCAAAAGAAAGGCCGTGACAGTGAGAGGCCCGCGCACCACGATGAAGAGTGGGGCCCACTCGCTGCAACTAGAGACAGCCCTTGCGCAGCAACGAAGACCGAACGCAGCCAAAAATAAATAAATAAATTTATTAAAAAAAAAAAAAAAAGAAAGAAACAGGGCTGGCAATGCTCCCTCCACAGCTTGTTCTGAGACTTAAATCACTTTTCCCTGAGAGGTGCTTGGCACGAGACAGACGCCCGGTGCAGCAGAGCTGCCGGAGTGGGCGGCCTCACCAGGTCTAAATGCGACTGAACTTCACGAGCTTCCGTGAGATGCGCATCGTGGATTCGCACCGTGGTGGGGAGGAGACCGAGGCTGGGAGGGGCGAGGGCAAAGTAAGCAGGAGGGCAGGTTTCTGGAGGCCTCGCCAAGGCCCCTGGAGTCTTCACCTCACCGCGCACCCGGGAGCTGGGAGCTGGGACTTTCTCCAAGCTGTTTGCTCAGGTCACTCTAACTGGGGGTGGGGTGGTCCCTGCACGTAGCCCAGTTTGCGCTCTCCCATCCATCCGGCACCATGCAGGGGACTGTGGAAAACTGGGTCCACAAATCCACCCATGAAGGAGGGTCCCTGGGAGGCCCGATCCCTTGCAGGGCCCAGAACAGGCATTTGGTGGTGCCCCTTCTCTGAGAGCTGTGCCCTCACGCCTCCAGGGTGTGCCACCCGCAGCCTCTCTGCCTGGTGGCCAACAGGCTTGCGTGACTGGGGCTTAAATTCTCAGCGATTTTGAGAGCTGGTTGTTAAATACTGCTGTAGAAGCTTACAACTCAATGGACTCTGTTAGAAACAGAGGTAGCAAGTACCCCAAACTCATCACTTCCTGCTTATTGGACTATATTTCACTGTCACCTATGTCCTAGAGATAACTTCTAGCTGTGTCTGTGCCTATATATGGTGAGGTTCCGTGCATCTCTGCCAGACTCCACGTGCTGTGCCATCACATTGGCAGAGGGAGATCAGCCGTGGTGGGAGCATTTACACCAGGGCCATGGGCAGAACTGCCAGTCAGGGCCTTTGATTTCTTTCTTTCTTTCTTTTTTCTTTTTGGCGAGTCATTATTGGACATCGACAAGGCTGACTGGGCAAGGTGGGCCAACCAGTTCCCCCCCTTAGGAATTTGGAATTGGGGCCAAGAGTGAGGCGTTGAGGTTGGGGTCCTCTATGGCTGCCCCCCCTCCTCAGGGTTCCAGGCAGAAGGGAGGAGAAAGTGGAGTACAGAGAGAGGCTGGGCCCCGAGGGGGATGAGCTCGAGGGACGAGCTCAGGGGATTTCGTGGGTCATGGCCCCAGACCTTCCCCTTGGGCCTTCTGGGCTCTTGGAATGTACCTGGATTACGGTGAGGCAGGTTTTCTGCAATCTCGTTTCCACAGGAGAACTTTCCAGCAAGCCCTGGATGGGTAATGAATGAGCTGCCTTAGAGGGAGTATACTCGTATCCCTGCAGGGTTCCAGGGACGCTGGATGTTGGGGGGTGGGGGGATTTGAGCATCACATAGGGGGTGCGGGTGGGAGTGGGAGTGGATAAGTCTCCTCTGTGGACAGACATCAGCCCCAGGGGACACGGGGAGGGACACCTGTTGAGACCTGGGATCTGACCCGTGTCCATCTCCCACTACCCCTCACCACGTTTGAAAATGGTAGTTGTCAGGGTTGCAGGTCCCTGGCTGGGTCATGCCGCATGCCTGCTTCCCCCACGAACTTCTCAGAAATTGGGGAGCACCTTCAGCACTGGGGGAACCACCTCTGCTGGGTGTGGGCTCCCAGCCTGGTGGCCACTTTTCACAGCAACCTGGGAGCCAGATTGCTCACCACCCTGGGATTGGGATGATGCTAAGAGAGGGTCGGGAACTGACTGGAGGTCACACAGCGGTCGGTGGTAGAGCCAGGTTCAAATTCAGGCCCTCAAACCTCAGTTCAGGGTGAGCATGGTGCCCACAGACCATGTCACACCCACCTCCCCAGGGTACCAGGCCCTCCCCAGAGCAGAGCTCACAGGGGCCTCGAGGCTGCTCTCGCCCGCGCCTCCCTGTTCCGCCGGCAGATGGCGCTGCGGGCCCAGGCAGGACCCGAGGCGGAGGGACACGAGGGGAGGCGGAAGAGACGTTCCTGCAGTGATGGGCTCTCCCCCTCCCCAGACAGCAGGTCGTGGGGGGGGGGGGCCCTGGCATCCCACCGCCCAGGCACTTGGCACACCTGGGGTTGTGACCCCGCTACCCCCTGGGAGACGGCAGCTATGGGTAGAGTGTCGGCTCACTCCCACCTCCGAGCCTTTGCACAGGCCCCTCCCCCTCCTGGGCTCCCTCCAGCTCCGGCTCCTGCCGGGAACCTGACGGGAGGCTGCTGTTACTAACCCCAGAGAGGAGGGGGCCTGACCCAGGGTCCAGCAGACCAGACCCTGCCCGGCTACCCAGCCCCTGACTCTCTGCCCCCCTCCCCTCCACCGCAACTCAGTTCCCAGCTGCAGCCAGGTCGGCCCTCTGAGGCTTGTGCAGTGCCTTCCTCCTGGAATGCCCTTGACAAAGATTCTTGGGTTCCAGAACCTTCTCCTGGGCCCATCTGTGCACCTCCTCATAAAATACTGTTCCAGCAAGAACCCCCCGCCCCCCCCATCCCCTGCCCTCCCCCCTGCATCTGATCAGGTTCCTCATCCTCCACCCTCCCCCAGGTGAGGTGTGAGCACCTGGCCTGCCTTCAGGGAGAATCCTGGTGCATCGATTTAGCTAGAATCCCCCTTCTCCTGATATTTCCTCTTAGTAATTTTCCATCTATTGACCGCCCCACCCCCGCCCCGCCCACACCCCATCCTGCTCCTTGGCCGTAAATCCCCACTGCCCCTGCCGTATTGAGAGCTGAGCCCGGTCTCTCCCCCATACACCCCCATCACTGTGGTCCCTGCACCTGTAGTGATAACCACCCTTGAATAAGTCTGCCATACCATCTTCAACCAGTGTCAGCCCCGCCCCCCCACACCCCTGCTTTCCTAAAGAAACTCCTCGCCCTTTCCTATTCACCCTTGGAGAACCCCAGCTCAGGTCACCTCCTCTGTGACGCCACCCCTGATTTCTCTGGGCTCCCATAGCATTTACTGTCGCTGCGGAGGTTGGTTCAACGTGAACTCTGAGCTCTGGGACACAGGGTGGTGGAGGCTGGGGCACCTACAGGAGGGGCCAGGCAGACAGACTCTCCCTCCTGGATGGTTCCCGGGAGCACAAAGGCTCCATCAGACCACCTGGCATCCTCCCGCGATGTTTAATGCCATGGAGCGCGCTCAGCCCAGCCTCAAGGAGCAGAGCTGGGATTCCAATCCTGGGCTCTAGGACTTCCCGGCTCAGGGAGGTCCTGCCCCGCTGCGTCTCCTGTGGGATGGTGGTCAGGGCCTCCGCCTCACAGGCCCACATGGTCCCTGGGGCGCGGGGGCAGTCCGTGTCCTGCCAGTCCACCCAGGCCCACTTGGTTCTGCCCATGCATGCCGTCCTCACCTGCCAGAACCCTCCCTGACCCTGCCTGGCCCTGCTCTAGGCAGCCTTTGCCCCTCCCCCAGTCTCCCAGTCTTGGGGATCCCCCGTTGTCCCTTTCTCCCCACTAGACCCTGTGCCCCACGAAGGTGGAGACCCGGAGGCCCCTCCCTGCCGTGCTCTAGCATGTAGTAGGCACGCACAGAATGCCTGCTGGGTGAAAGCAGCAGACACGCCCCTTTGAAGAGGCTGCCCAGGGAGGGGTCCTGCCTCGTGTCTCTGGGGCCCGTGGAATGGGGGGACAGAGTCAGCAGGGCCCCTGGGCCCCCATGCAGGCGCACTGCCGGGGGGGCGCCTGCTCAGCTTCCAGGCTCCCTCCTCCCTCCACGCCAAAGTAAGAGGGGGAAAAAGGCCAAAGTAAGAGGTTTTCTCCTCCACTTTCTGAAAATGAGATTTTAAAAATAACCAGGAGGCGGTGGCATTGCCAGGAGGGGATTATGTGGGGAGCGGGGATGGCGCGGGCCTGCCTGCCCCTCCTCCTGGGTGCGCCTCAGCCTGGACCTCCCACTCTGCCCCTCCCTCTCCTGATGGGGGAGGTGGGAGGGAAGACCGCAGCGGGGGAGCTGCTGAGAAGGGAGATGACCGAGGTGGAGGAGGAAGGAATGCTTGGGCTGGGACCCCAGGTCCCCACTGGCCCCCCCACTCTCCCTTGGCGCACTGCTCAGCAGCCACCTGGCCTCCTGGGCTGTTTCTCGTTCCTTGGGGCACTGTGCTCCTTGCTGCCACAGGGCCATTGCACGTGCACGTCCTCAAACTCTCTTTCCCTCCCTTCATGCGACATCCCATCTTTACCCTCAGCTTCAATGTCATTTTCCTGAGAGGCTGACCTTGACTACAGGATGGTCTATGCGTGTTCCCCCGTCACTGCCGACCTCACGGTTCCCTGACAGTCTCCTCCCACATCCTCATCATCATTGGGGTTTATTTATTGACTTGACTCTTACTTCTCTCCCGCTGTGAGCCCCTTGGGGTGGGGGCTGAGGAGCAAATGATATAGGTCTCTCCCACCCCCATCCCCTGGGCTCTTCCTATTTCTGTAGTTCAGGGCCAGCCCCTGTGTTTCTTTGTCTGAAGTGCTCTCTGGCTGCTGGGGGAAGATGCCAGGCAATCAACTCTCCTGGGAGCAGCACTTAACTCATGACTGATGGGGTGGGTGGGTGACAAGCCCCTCACCCCTCAGACAGGACGGCCCAATGAGACTGAGCCCCAGTGGCTCCCAGAGGTAACCACTTAGTTGATAACACCCTTGATCACTGGCCTCCTTCTGTCCCT